TCTTGTAGTGGTTATCAATTTCAATTTGCATTAATGGTAGCTAATTTTGGCATTTCAATTCCTAGCTAGCATCTTGGCATCTCTTGCTGACCATTATATTCTGTGTTCTTACAGTTGATGTTTAGTCCTTTTTTTTTGGGGGGGGGCTTCAATATACGTCAAAATTTCCAAGACTTCTTTTCTCATTATAAGTCCTAGAAATTTCTTAGATTCTTACTTATTCCATCTATAAATGTCTTTTTTTCCATATTCCATAAAACTTCCTCATTAGTTACGTGCTCTGTTCATGGTATTCGCAACATCCTTCTGTAGAATCACATCTCTGTTGCCTCAAGACTTCTGTTCATCTTTGAGGAAACTATCCAGCCTTCAATACCATATAATAGGATCAATATTAACTCTAGAACACTAACCATGGGTAATATAGTACCCAGCGCAAATTTTCCTATTTTTAATTACACTTTTCAGTACCTGATTTTCTTACCTAAATAATGTGTTTCAGTTCTTATTAACGTTAAATCAAAGTACAAAGTTTGAAATGCCTGCATGTAAAATATTTCAAATAAAGATTTATATTTAATTTTTTTTTTTTTATATTTTCAAAAGTGGGTATGGTATACCCATGGTTAGTAGTGGTGTAACTTTAATTGATGGTTATTGTTCTAGGGTTAAATAACAGTCGAGCACTCTTTTCTTTGTTTCTAACGGAATTTTCCTGTTTTTAATACTTTGCTTAGCTTTTGAAATGCACCTTTCGCAACTGTACTTGTTTGATTTTAAAATGTCTAATTCATAGTCCCTATCTTGTGTTGTTCCTCTTGCAGACAACTATGCATTAAGTTTTCTTACAATTAATGGTAACGGCAATGGTAGTATTGACCGTTTCCTTATAAGGAAACATTTTGCTTCATTGACCTAGCAGCCAGTACTATTGTAGGTTGAAATTTATAAAATCTGTCTCTTAAAACACTTTTTTCAGAGAAACAGGTTTCACATGTGCGGTATCTTTTATCGCTCTTTCCAGTATTGATAGAAATGTTCCTTCCGAACATTCTGTTTGAATGTTAACATCCTGATTATGTCATTATTTTCTCTTCCGGTGACATGTGCTATCCATTTTAGTTGTCGCTGCTGTTGGTAGTCTTCAAGTGATGTGGTTTCTGTTATTTGGTACAGTTCTTTGTCTGTTATTTTGTAGCGCCAATCCACAATGATCCAAGAAGGATGATCTTTACCAAGATCCTCAGGCTTCACTCAAAGCCTTTTTTCATTAGTGATCTTAGGAAGTCGTTGCATAAAACTGACAGTTTAGATATTTCTGAACAGATCTGACGCCATGCATGGGATCCATATGACATTCTCGATCTGACGCCATGCATGGGATCCATATGACATTCTCGATCTGACGCCATGCATTCCATCGATCTGACGCCATGCATGGGATCCATATGACATTCTCGATCTGACGCCATGCATGGGATCCATATGACATTCTCGATCTGACGCCATGCATGGGATCCATATGACATTCTCGATCTGACGCCATGCATGGGATCCATATGACATTCTCGATCTGACGCCATGCATGGGATCCATATGACATTCTCGATCTGACGAAGCTATTTAAGATCATGACTCGAGTTTTCAGGTTGATGTTTTGGTTTTGTGGCAATTTGTGGTGTTGAGCGAAACTACCTCTGGCACAGACTACTTAATTTGTTATAACTTATCCATATGCTAAGGTATCTGAAGTGTTTAGTATTTACTAATTCCACATAATGAATTTTTATGATGGCTTCAGGGTAGGTGCCATAACTGCTTTCATTTCAATTACAGATCATGGTTTCTCTTTTGGAAAGGTTTATCTTAAATCCTAATACTTGGAGTGCTTGATAGAGGATGTTTATTTTCTGTTCATAATCATTCTAATCCCGAGCATGAACACCTATGTCATCAGCATAGCCCCATTATCATCAGAACATTGGCCTCGGGAGAGAAATCAGGATATTTTTTTCTATTGGTACACATATTTGGGGTGCAGTATGGAATGATTAAATTGTCCACTGGAGGAAAAGCTCCTCGTATGCAACTGGCTACAAAGGCCGCTCGTAAGAGCACTCCTGCCACTGGCGGAGTGGAGAAGCCCCATCGTTATAGGCCCGGTAACGTTGCCCTGCGTGAGATCAGACGTTATCAAAAATCCACCGAACTTCTGATTAGAAAGCTTCCATTCCAGCGCCTTGAACGTGAAATTGCTCCGTTTCCAGAGTTCTGCCGTGATGGCTTTAGAGGCGGCTAGTGAGGCTTGCTTGGTGGGTCTTTTCGAAAATACCATCTTGTGCTCCATCCACGCCAAGCGTGTTACCATCATGCCCAAAGATATCCAACTTGCCCGCCGTATCCGTGGCGAGAGAGTTTAAATTCTCGCCTTTCAGTTTTCAGCACAAAAGATGATGAATAAAAAAATAAAAGAAATGATAAAAAAAAGAGATTGTCTGTTATTCTGTAGTGCCAGTCCAAAATGTTCAAAGAAGGATTACATTATCTAAGTCCCTCAGGCGTTATTCCCACAAAGCCTTTTTTCACCATTGATCTGAGGAATTGGTTATATACAGCGGACAGTTAAGATATTTATGATGGGGTCTGGCACCATGTATGGTATCCATCTGAAAGTCTTGATCTGATGTGGCTATTTAAGAACATAACTTGAGTTTTCAGGCTGATGTTTTGGTTTCATAGCAATTTATGGTGTGGGAGGTGAAGTTACCTCGGACCCAGTCTATTCTAGGTTCAATTTGCCTCTCTCCCATATTCAATTTGTTATCATTGATCCTTATGCCGACGTATCTGAAGAAGTGTTTAGTATTTACTAATTCCACATCCTGAAGTTTTATGATGGATTCAGTACCATCACTGCTTTCATTGCAATTCCAGATCATAGTTTCTCTTTTGGAAAAGTTATATCTTGAATCCCCTTTCATTTAATATTTGATTATCGTATTTGACGGCATATAAGGATGGACTTAGGCGTATATATACATTCTAGTCGTTTGAAATTCGCAAGATCGTGAAACTTGAATAGCGACTCGAGCTGTTCTTTGTGTGTTGACGTTGTAAAGTGTTTTTTTTTTCTTTTTTGCACAGTCTGTGTAGTCTGGGCGTTGAGCACTTTACTGCGTAGGTAGGTGTTTGCTTTTTAGTCTTTCTTTTTTCATTGCTTTTTCGGGATTTTTCCTTGTGTAAGGTATTAGGCCGCCTGGCTTGTTTTCGTTTGGTCGCACCAACGTCGTTGTTTTTTTCTTTAGTAGTAATATATATATATATATATATATATATATATATATATATATATATATATATAATGTATATTTGGGCATTGACTGCTCTTTCAAATATGTTTCGTTGAATATGACAGACAAGAAAAATCTGATGAATTTTTTATTGAGCTTTTCTAGTATTTTAATTTTTTCCGTTTGGTGGCGGTAAGGGAGTGTAACAATATCATCAGCTTTTATTTTTCCTTTTTTTTTTACTATGAGATTACAATATGTCTTAAATCATTTATAGATAAGTGTATATCCTTAGCCTGACATAATTGTCTGCCAGAAATTGATCTTGAATTTTCCATCTTTACAGCTCGATATATTTACCGTATTTGACGGCATATAAGGCGTACTTTTTTTTTTTACTAGAAATATCTTTTAAAATTCCCCTGCGTCTTATATGCCATATGTAGGTTTAAAATTCACGATAGTCGGTCGAAATTAGCAAACTGGCAACTCTTATTAAGTTAGACATTAAAGTAACTTTCATATACCTATTTTCGTTATTTAAAAGGCAGATAAAAATGTTTTATGTCGTTGATAATATTCATTATATTAATTTCATCACATTTAATATTAGTACTTTGTTTCACTAAAATTATATGCAATAAATTCAAATTATCTATTTATAAAATATATTTGTTTCATTAATATTTTTCTTACGATAACTTCCGGTGGCATTGGTATAAGTACAAATTTTTACATCCTAATTATTCCATGATAGTAGTATTGAAAATGAGTATCAGAGTTTTGGTAACGAAGACAACGAATTTTATGAATTTGAAGATGAATAAAATTTTAATGGTAACTGCATTGTTTTGCTCAGTTGTAATTGCTTGATTTTTATTTTGTTTTCCGACCTTTGGATATAATAAAGTTTTTATAGGCTCATATTCTTGTTTCCTATTATTTTTCATTTAATTGTAATCATGGCTTGTTTAACCAAAATAATATCTCATAAATATAGCCTAAGCTGTACCATTTACTCATAATTTTACTAATTTTACCAATCAATTTTTTCTTGGTTTGCCCTGCTGAAATTGAGGTGCGTCTTATACACCCGTACGTCTTATATACCGTCAAATACGGTAATCACTAGTCCTCTCTTCCTGCTTTCCTTTACTATTTCATTTAGGCGTTCCTACAATTTTATTTCTGCGTCTACGATCAACACGGTATCATCTGCATATCTTATGTTGGTCCACTTGTGTCCACCAATAATAAATCCTGGTAGGATTTCTAGTTCTCTTAGGATCACTTCGCTGTAAAGTTCAACAAAAGCGGGGAGAAGTCTTTGCAGATGTTCAAATAAGCTAAGTTCCACCAATTCAGACCTTCACAGCTAGGACTTGCCATGCCATTTACACAGAGTCAACTCATCCTCATTCCCTTCATATTCCATTGGTTGATTTCTCGTTTTTTACGGCTTATCAACCCGTTGTAGGTTCTTTAAAACCAGAAAATATTTGTAGATTGTAAGAATTTGGAGGGGGGATAATAATGGTTTTAGTGATACAATTTTTACTAATTAACCCATAGCTACCGGAGAAGAGATTGATTCATACCTTTCCCAGGGGTACTTAAGCATAAGTGAATATAATGTACCCAACTGGAATTGAAACTCGGCTCCCGATTAACAATTCCGAGTTATTATCCATTGCACCACTCGCGCATCCAAACACCTGATCTTCTCAAACGGTTACCCATCTAGGTACTGACCAGGCTCGATGTTGCTTAATGTCAGTGATCACACGGGTACCGATGTTTTAACGTGATATGGCCATAAGCCTTATTTTATTGGTAAATATTTCGCTTTGTGCAGCCAGTCAGAAGATAATTATTTCTGTAAGATTATAGAGGCAGGGAGAAATATTTGCTTCGTCAGTGCTTAGGATCTTTGAAAATCCGGACCGATTTAAATGTTCCCTTCTCGCATGAAGGTTCGCAGAACAAATCTTTCAATATGTGCACAGCGATTTTATTCGTTTTCTTCTTTTTGTTGTTCAAAGAAGGTAATTCCATTTAGAATGATTCTTGTAAATTTCTTTTTGATTCATTCAATTTTCCATTTGTTCACATTTCTATACCAAACCAACCCGAAGTCTTTAAAAAAAAAAAAATATTACCCAATGGAAATCAGTTCTGCTGTTACATGAACGGGTCTTCAAACTCCCACTGATCAAAGATGTCAGAAGTTGTTCCATTTGCTAGCAGAAGCCAGATCAGGTTTTGCTCGTTTAAATTGAAATGACGTTGCCGATATAGGTTTTCCCGGTGGTCTGTAAATCTTGCTTGGGAAACGAGGAACCAAGCAACATCGTTAAGCAAGGTTTCTTATAACCATATTACTGTTCAGTCCGACTAACTTATCAAATTTTAATCAAATGACCAAACACCAGAATTAATTCTGGAATCAATTCTTGTTCTGTCCGAGAACTTTTCCTCAGCCCCTCATATTAAACAAAATTTCAAGTTGTATTTCAATCGAATTTTCGATGGGGAATCATTACGGTCTCCAAGAAAAAAATCACGTGGGCTACACATGCATGTCAATTGCTTTGTCTTAAATGTGTCACCGGGTTATTAATCGTTTCGATATCGATTCTGCGACAATGATTCTCAAAAGAGACCCACCTATTTACATTATTCTAACTATTGTCATCATCTTTGTCGCCATATTTATTACAACGTTTCGGCCGTTATACGCTCCAGCCTTCTTCAGGTGGTTGGCATGTCGAACTGAACCCTTTATTTAGCTCACTGGGGTAGACTGTTCTAGTTCCACGTGCCATGTTTAATAGATGCCAGCTATCAGTTATCTCCTGTTAATTCCCCTCTCCAAGTTCTCCACTGCCTTAACCGGGTATTGAACTCACACTATCCCCTGTGCCATATGACCTAGGACACATGTCACAGTGGATAAAGGCGTTGGTTAGATCCAGTGACAGGACCCAAAGAGTGTAAGTTTAATACCCGTTTAAGGCAGTGGAGAACTTGGAAAGGGGAATTAACAGGAGATATATGATAACTGACATCCATTAGATATGGCACGTGGAATTAGAACAGTTTACCCCAGTGAGCTAAATAAGGGCTTCAGTTCGACATTCTAACCACCTGAAGAAGGCCGGAGCGTACAACGGCAGAAACGTTGTAATACATATGACGACAAAGATGAGGACAATAGTCCGAATAATGTAAATAGTGTACATAATACCTCATCTCAGAAATATAGACAGATACAGAAACCCACCTGTTACGAAGGTGAAGAATTTAAACCTGGAGAAAAATTTAAATGAGATGTGCTTTTCTTAATTATTTTACCCGAAGAAAGGCGATAATACCACTACGACGCAAGGAGGTACCGGAAGTGGAAGAGTTTGAGAAGACTTTAGCGAGAAGAAAGAAAAATAAGAGAACAGATCTCAGGAAAACAGATGACGACGATTGACGTTGCATTTAAAATTTTGAAGATTGTAAATGGCTGGGAGGCAAGAAATCAGAAGATAGTTCCACAGGAAAGAAGTGCGAGAAAAGAAAGCTATTAGAACATAACTTACAATCATATTTAACCATTTCAACAGTAAAACGGTGAGGCTGAATAGCCAATCTAGTAGAACGCTTAAATTCACGCAGTCGAGGTAACCAAGAAAGAGAGCGTTATTTATTTGCAAAAAAAAAAAAAATGGCACATGGCCAAAATGGAGAAAAGGACGGTCTTGTTCTGTCTTAACATTAAACTTAGCTAGCTACAAACACTGACCCAAACATACCACAATATTCCTAACACCAAAACAACGCATTTTTACTTATCTTTCTTACTACATTCACCATAATACCTCATGTCTCTATGAAAGTCCTAACTAGTCCCCATATGTACAATTCATTGTCTACTTTTCTTTCAAAACTGTTGTTCTATATATATAATTGAAAATTATATATTCATTATATCATATATATATATATATATATTTATATATATATATATATATATATATATATATATATATATATATATATATATATATATATATTATATATATGTATAAGGCGATTTGTTTGGTAGTTAGAACGCTCGGATTCATGGGTTCGAATCTCACCATGATCGTTTTTTTTTTTTTTTTTTTCCTCGGATTCATTTTTCTTTCTCTTTTTCAGATGTCCTCTGCGTAACTATACCCATGTTTGTTCGTCCCTGACATTTTCTGTTTTTCATGGATTTTCCTGTTTTTCATTGCTTATGGTATTCGTCCCCGATTTCTTTTTTGCTTTGTATCTCATAATCAAATATATATATATATATATATATATATATATATATATATATATATATATATATATATCAAACTATCGCTGTATTCGTTGCCTTCAAAAACTTGAAAATACTTGTGTCTATAGGATTAACGATAAGAGAGATGTGAGTTTGTCAAATGGAAGTGTGATGACGCCATCTCTTCCACAAATGCCATTTTAAAGTCTTTTCTTTCCAGATGTATAAACAAATAAATCTCATGGTTTGTTTCCGATTTTTTAAGTATTTAATTTAATCCAGCATTGACACCAGGAGTGACACTGTTGTCAGCTGAAATAATTCATTCGCCTATTCACCTCAGTATAAATGGGACAATTATCAAGGGGATGCGCCACAATACCATTCAGTGCCCGAGTCGACGGTACCATCTTTTTCATTATTAATACTTTAATTAAATTATAATATATAATTCAAATTATGTCTCTCATTAACACTGACGTCAGGCTCTGCATTCTATATAGGCCTAATATCGCTCGTTTAAATGCTAACTTCGGCGTTTTCCTTTCAGTTGTAAGACACTTCCTGTTAATAGAATTATTCTTATAATAATGATTTACGAATGCTAAATATCGTCCACGTATGAAGAAGAAACTTGAGGCAAATGTTCCTGCAGGATGTCAAAAGTTCAAAAGTTACCGAGAGGACCATAGCAAATGAAGTTGTAGAGAGTCATGATCGCACATGTCCTGAAAAAACATGGCAAATAAAAGTCCTGAAAAAACATGGCACATAAAAGACCTGAAAAAACATGTCACGTAAAAATCCTGAAAGAACGTGGCACATAAAAGTCCTGAAAAAACATGTCACGTAAAAGTCCTGAAAGAACATGGCACATAAAAGTCCTGAAAAAACATGTCACGTAAAAGTCCTGAAAGAACATGGCACATACAAGTAGTTCTCTTCTCGTAGTGAACAGACTCCTGAACTGTTATCTAATATCAATATAGCAGTGAATGTGGGACAATCTCCTCAAAGATGAAGAACTTGAGCCAAGAGAAATTTGATTCTACGGAAGGATACTGAGAATACTGAATATGTGAGCAACGTGGACGTTTTAAGGAAAATGCAGACAAAAAGGACACTTGTACTTAGAGTCAAAAAGAGGCTGTTGAAATTTCTAGGTCAGGTAATGAGGAAAGAATTCTTAGAGAATCTGTCTCTCACAGGATATACCGAAGTCAAGACGGACAGAGGTCAGGAGCGAGTAATCTACCTAAAGAGCATGTGTAAATAGATTAGGTAAAGGAAGGGCTAGCTAAGAGACAGGGATTGCTTACAATTGCACAGGATAGAAAGTGGGGATCCACGATTATTAACATCCAGAAGGGATAAGATACGGTACAGTTTTGCCATTAATATCTATAGCTCGATTTTATTTTACTATTAAATTCTATTGCCGGGAATTTTTACTATAAGCATGTATTTTTATATTTTAATAGAGCTTCGACTCCAGTTTGAAGGTTCACTGTTTGCCAAAAACTGAGACCATAACAAGTGCTACTACCTCGGGTCATGGTGGACCTGTGAACAACAAGAATTAAAAGTCGTCCTGGGTATGACGATAAACTACATCCGCATCCTGGGTAAGACGATAAACTACATCCAACAGCAAGGCCTGTGATCAGGAGGTTTTGAAGAGAGATTGTCCCACATTCACTGCTATATTGATATTACATAACAGTTCAGGAGTTTGTTCACTTCGAGAAGATAACTACTTGTATGTGCCATGTTCTTTCAGGACTTTTACGTGCCATGTTCTTTCAGGACTTTTACGTAACATGTTTTTTCAGGACTTTTATGTGCCATGTTATTTTAGGACTTTTACGTGACATGTTTTTTCGGGACTTTTATGTGCCATGTTATTTTAGGACTTTTACGTGACATGTTTTTTCAGGACTTTTATGTGCCATGTTCTTTCAGGACTTTTACGTGACATGTTTTTTACCTTATACATCAAGCAATGTAGATGTTCACTGTCGTTTCTGGGGGCGGTTTCCCAGTGGAATGGGAGAGGAACCCAAATATTCAATAATTTGAATGCAAAATATACAGTATATTTGAATGCTTGCTTGACTAAACAGGGGAATATCGAATAAATCTACCTAACAAACGAATAGCTCTTTCCAAGCGCAAGTCTCTCATAATCTTTCAGGAGACTTCCCACGCAAATACTTGTGAAAAATGGCATCTCTACATACACACATTAATTCATTTACTACTGTGTAGTGAGTTCGATCCTCGCTGGTTGCCCGATACTTTAGGCCACATGCCACATCTAAGCCGCTCTTAGAAAATCATCACACATTAATTCAATATTATTCTTCAGGTAATAAAATACGTTGGTGTCAATCGCATGCAATTGCTTCAATTCATTGCCGCTACTACGTCCTGGGTATGACGATAAACTACATCCGCGTCCTGGGTAAGACGATAAACTAAGTCCAACAGCAGATATGGCAGCAATATTCAATGCACGG